AAGAAATAAATGCAAATAAAGCTTGAAATATGTGCACTTAAAAACAAACGTTTTTTGGTTTTTCAATCTGTATGAAACGATTGGTAAAGTCCATCCTGTCAAATGCACGTCACATAAAAGCCACAACTCAAACGGCCACAAATTTGTAAACAAAGAGCCGCTGTCATTGCTGGAGGAGATTTGCCAGCAAGACCAAGTTGTGGATTATTTCAGAAGAGCAGCGTAATCAGACCAAGCATTAACACCACCATAAATTAGGTTGGTGTCATGATTTCATTTCTCTCGAGTGCGTATGCGCAGTAGCTTGGGTAACCTAAGAATATTTCAAATGTTTAGAAACAAAATTTATGAGACGGTTGTTGTTTAATTTTATTGGTGATATGTAATGTAATCGTAAGCTTGGCAAACAGTTTTGGAGAATGTTTCCCCGCTCAGACAGAATGCCTGATCTTACTACCCGAGAAGCATTTCAAAAATGGTCGACGAGTGAAATGAGTCTTAAATAGACTTTAAAATAATAGTGCTTGTTATAAATGTTATATCTGTGTACTTCATTACTTTAAAAAAAAATGTATTTAGCCTTCATAATCATTTAATGAAATACCACAACACCCCTTTCCCCTTTTAAAATATTTTTCCTTACTTCTGGTCACATAGACTGCCTATAATCAGAGTGATGTCTATCAGTGTATCTATCTCATTTCTGTCCTGCCTCCACAGGATCCAATGCTTCGACTGAATACGATACGGTTCCCTCTGTAAAATTTAGCTCCGTGTTCTCATCATCATCGGTCATATGAAAAAAATTCTGTACCAGAGGGTGTCGACGGTGATTCCAGTGGACAGTTCATCATCCACAAGTTTATGCAAAGTGCCATTAAAATCTTCCTCTATTTTGTTGGCAACACCCTTCTTCCAACAATCCAATCAATTCCCAAAGGACAAATCATGCGCTGCCCTTTTTTCTCATTTCAGAAACCATTTCAGTGGTTTTCTTTCTAAAATGCCTCAGCCAAAGTCTGTCATCAGAGTGGCTTGGTATTATTAAACCCCAGAACTGTCATGACCGGCTGCGCTCCCAAAGAGCATCTCGCACCTCCAAAAGGCCAGCAATTTCAATTGTGTTTTCATCTTCTGAGGCAAGTAGTTAATTTATTATATAAGTAAAAAACCCTACATTGAGGGCTGGATTAAATACACATTGGGCCTAGGGGCTATAGCAAATCCAAAGACCCCATTTTTTTTACCTCACAAAAGTGTGTATATGTGTATATTATTATTATTGTTATTGTTGTTATTAATAAGTTCATTCATTCATTTTCTTTTCGGCTTAGTCCCTTTATTAATCCGGGGCCCCACAGCAGAATGAACCGCCAATTTATCCAGTACATTTTTACACACTGGATGCCCTTCCAGCCGCAACGCATCATTGGGAAACATACACACAAACACATTCACACTCATACACTATTGATAATTTAGCCTACCCAACTCACCTGTACCGTATGTCTTTGGACTGTGGGGGAAACCAGAGCACCCGGAGGAAACTCACGCGAACGCAGGGAGAACATGCAAAAAGTTTAGAAGTAAACTTGCGAAATGTATGCAACGTCTAAATTTAGCTGTTCAGATTTCAAACAATCATCCAGATAATTAATTCCAATCTCAGTCATGTACATTGGAAGAAAGTGTGATATTCTGCTGCACAAGAATTTCTCAGGATTCCTCTCAAGGGAGCACACATGACTGACTGCATGACTCACACAACAGAAGACAGGTCTCGAGGGCTCGAGGTCTTTGCTCATTATTTTAGCGTGTGTGTGTTTTTAGGTGAGTCAAAAGGAGGAGGCAGAGGGAGTATGAGCAGACCTGCTGTACCATCCATCAGCCCCTAACGAGGCCATTACTTCTGTAGCCTGTCTCTCTGCCATTCAAAAGCACTAATGCCCATCCTCTCACATGACAGCAGCGCAGGTCTGGAGTAATAACGGGTAGGGGTGTAAGAGTCACTGTTTGCTGAGCTCAAGGCTCTGCTGGTGTCTGCTGAGATCCACATGAGTCAAGGTGACCATTGCTGAATGATGTTTGTTCACTCTCAGAATCATGTTGGGGCGCTAGAGGTTCAAGTAAGATTTAAATACACACAATAAGACTTGTTTATAAGACAAAAACTATAGCTAAAAACAAAAACTAAAATAATTAAAATAAAATAATTGGTCCCCAGAATGTACCTTTGAAGTTTTAGCTGAAAATACCCCACAGATCATTTATTTTAGCTTGACTTATTTCCCTTATAAGGGTGTGAATAAAAACTTTCTGTTTTCATGTGTGTCCATTTAAATGCAAACGAGCTGCTGCTTTACTCCACAACATAACAACTGAATCTAACTGAACCAAAATTCACACATTGTATATTATAAAGGGTTTTAAAAGTTTCAGTTTAATTTTTTGATTAAAAAATGCTCAATTATCATTGCTTGTGTTTTATTGTCAGCAAATTGATTAGCTGATAAGTCTATTTATAATACTAATACTAATACTACTACTACTACTACTACTACTACTACTACTACTAATAATAATAATAATAATAATAATAATAATAATAATAATAATAATAATAATAATAATAATTCCTGACATTCCTTAGTTTTCTGGATACTCAAAGTGGTTTACACATTTTATGGGGGAATCTCCTCGTCCACCACTAGTGTGCAGCATCCACCTGGATAAAGCGACGGCAGCCATATTGCGCCACACCGCTCACCACACACCAGCTGATTGGTAGAGAGGAGAGTGATGAAGCTAATTATGATATGGGGATGGTTAGTAGGCCATGGTGGGTAGAGTCCAGTGGGCAAATTTGGCCAGGATGCTGGGGTTAAACCTCTGTTCTTTTTTTGAAGAACATTGTAGAGAGTTAACAGATCCAAGTCACACACCATATCATCCTTAAAAGATTGATTGGTGCCTACATGTCTGAGCTTTAATTTTTTTTTTTTTCAAAGCAGTCCACAGGCACCCAACAAAAGGTTATCAACAGGATGACTTGCCAGTTGTGATCGCATATGCTCACTTATTAACTCTACGTCTTAAAACAATAAAAAGAGGCTCTACACTCACAGACCCCCCCAAACAGGTTTTTGAGATTGCTCAGCAAGCCCTTTTGGTTTGGTTCGACAGGAATATACATTCCTCAGACAGACAAAAAAGCGATAAAAAGCTTCCAAAGTATAAATGGACCTTCAGTTAAACTGTGTTTATTTAAGTAATGTATGCTTATTTTATGTTTATATAGATTTTTGTGTGTCCATGTTCCTTGTGTTTACCGTTATAAATATTTGTTAATGAGTTATAGCTATTGGTGGTGTATGAAATCTACAGAATATTTGTGAAATATTTCATCTTTGGTATTGATTAAGAGCTAGGAAAGTTTTAAATGCAGTGATTAATATGAAGAAAACGTAGAATGAAAAATGACGGTTACAAAACTTTACTATTAAGATTGTAAAACTCTCAATCAAAAAAAGTAAGCATTGATCCTCACACGATGTGCCAACCTGGCCTCCTAGAGGAGTATATATATATATATATATATATATATATATATATATATATATATACGCAATATCACACGAGTAGCAGTGCGATATGGCTGTATATCAGCACTGGTGGGAGGCGTGCGTTGGCACAAGGCCGCGCCTCACCAGTGCTGATATACAGCCATATTACACTGCTACGAGTGTTTTATTGCGTTTATACAACTGTTTGACGGCACAATCTTGTATATATAAAAAAGAAAATCAAACACGGAGAGTCTAAAACCCTTTTGTATTAGGAACTACTTTCTTCTGCCATTCATTCACATCTGCAGATGACATCAGAACAGCAGAAGCCGTTACTAGTTTACCGACGTCACTTTAGAGCTAGTATTGTATGACAAAACAACTGATTTTGCTCACATTTTAGGATTATAAGGCTGAACGTGACATAAAATGGCATTTATCTACAGAAATATCTCTCTACAGTCTATTACAGTCTACAGTATTTCTCTGTTGCCCTCGGTATTGTAAAGGGTGCCAGGTGTCCCAGCATTTACCCGGAGACTTTATGAAAAAAAAAGCTCTTTCTAATTGCTTTTATGCATTTCTCCCAAGTGCTGTCAACTACATACAAGCCAGTCAACAACGAGTAGGCAAAAAGAAAAGAAGAATACACTCAAACATCCGTTGCAAATAAAATGTTACATTATTGAAATAAAAGAATGATACAGTGGTAGCGCGACCATCACACACTTCTCCTTAGAGCTCGCTGAACTGAACTAAGCTCACATACATTCGTGTTTACATCTCAAATGTAAAACAACCACAGAAATAGTCTTCTTAAAGGGGACATAATGCACAATGCATATCAATCATTGAGCGACCGATCACAATAATCAACCTTGAAAAAAACAGAGCAATCACTACCAGACTGCTGTTGTGTTTGCAATATGGAGGAACGAGGCTGAATCCAGCTTCCTATTCGCAGCTTCTTACTAATTCTATCCGGTCCACCTCAAAAACAACGAGGCTTCCGTTTTTCAGCTTTTTATTTGCGCTCAAGAAAAAACACTAAGCAAGGGCTTATTATGCGGACCTGGCGCCATCTTGTGGATAGACAACGTCAACCGTCTTTGGCCGCCGACGAGCTCTCTCAGAAATTGTAAATATTTGTTGTATATATATATATATATATATATATATATATATATATATATGAGCAATATCACACGAGTCGCAGTGCGATATGGCTGTATATCGGCACTGGTGGGAGGCATGCGTTGGCACGAGGCCGCAGGCAGAGAGCCTTAAGCAGGTCGCACACCAGAAGCGCCACTCGGCACCGCGTAGTGCCACGCAGCGCCATGCATTTTAGAATTATATATATAAATATATATAAAAAATACAATTAAGAACATTGAGCAACAACAGGTTAGATACTGTAAATGGAGCACATACCTCCTCTGTCCCTGATGGCCAGATTATTGCCCTTCTTCAACACAATGTCCAGCTGATACATCCTTGGCTTAGGCAACGGAGGAAGTTCGTCATTACTTGGCTCCACAATATTGATGCCCTACAGGAACAGAGGAAAACAATCAAGTGGTCAGACAGGGCTATGAGCATGCGATACAATATCAAGCTCATTCTAGCAAACCAGTTCAGTGTGTATTTTTAGGAAAACTCTAGTTATTACACTTTGGTACATTAACACTCTTTAAAAAAAAAGCTCTTTGTTGACATCAATGGCTCATAAATAACCTTTAACATCCATAGATTTTTTTTGTATTTCTCCTTACAAAGGAAAAGAGTTTTCAGATCATTAAAATTTCCTTAAATAATGATTTTAAGAACTGATTATGATTCTTCTAAGGCCGGAGTACTCATGTTCAGAGGCCAAGGGAACCACATTAAAACTACATAAAATGCGAAGCACCACAAAATAAAGTATGACTTCAATAATAACATTTCATTTAAGATACTTTAAGCAGTTATAGTTACTTTAAATGATCAAGTCTTGGTTATAAAAAATGGATTATTCCATATACTGTATAATACTACAACTAATATTAATACTGAATGTAATAACAGAAATGTGGAGCAATTAAGTATATTAGCACCTTAAAAATGCATTTATACAGTATTCAAACAGAGTATTGAACTCTGAGCAGATACACTATGTGAAACCATTAAACAAATGTAATATTATATTTTCTTTCTTAATAATTTATATTATTATTATATTATTATATTATATAATATTACACACATTAATACACTATTTATGTTTTAGTTGTGTTGCATTTTTATATTTAAGGTCACTATACAAAGTTGATGTGCTATTGCTACTATGGTGTAGTACAGTCATAGTAGTAGTCATTTTAACGGCTTAAAGCAACTCAGCAAATTAACTCAGCAATTAATTAATAAAAAAAATAATTAAACAAAGCAATTTGCTTTGCAGTTTACAGTATATTTTTTGTTTTTCATGCTGCTTGAATTAATCCTGCAGGCTGCCTGTTGAGTCTATGCATTGGAATTCCTTCTCAAACGATTATGAATAGATTCTCGAAAGTTCAGCATCAAATCTGTAATTAAATCGAAGCACGACATTACGACCCATGTGAAAAAATGAGCTACAAAAACTAAATTTGCTTCAATTGGACAGATGGATAAATTTAAATTTATATAAAGTTATATAGTTAAGCTGTAGTGTTATGAATTTGCATCCAATGTGGGATTCCGGATGCTGTTTCTTTTTCATTTTTTGGGTGAACTATCCCTTTTAGAAACTATTCTTTATATTGGAAATGAAAAAAACGTATTTGACAATTAACCAATTTGAGTTGACTTTATAGGGCCATGAAACCCCCTCTTTCGGTTCAAGTCTACCTCGGAATATTTTCAAAAAATTATTCATGATGGGTGTGAGCGCTGCAAGCAGAGGGAGGAGTGGGCATGGCTGGCAGAGCAGGGGAAAAAGAGGGGAGCGAACAACTGTTGACAGTTGGCTAACAAAATGAGACACGAACTGTGAGGAGACCCATGATTTTATAGGTTACAAAGTTAAATGCAAAGACGTAAACAGTAAGTAATTTAATGCCCTGCTACATATGTTATTCGTACATATACACATAACCACAATTTGCTCTATCATTATAAAGATAATCGTGTTTATATAAACACTATAAATCAGGAGGACTATTCTCCTCCTCAATCCCCAGGTCTGAATGCAGACAAAGCAGTGCAGCAGGTCTCTTGCCCTATATATTTCAACCATTAGCCCTGCAGATAATCTGGAAAAAAACATAAAAATAGGCTAACACAGCAGCATTGATAGGCGATTTGTCTGAATGACAATGAAAACAAACTGATAAAAGACAAAGTCCATCATTATCTAATTCTTGTACAGCTCTCCCAACAAAAAATGCTTGCTGCACACATAAAGCTTTGCTGTATCATCCCTGACAACATCCCTATAAGAAATAGGAATGAATAAATAAATAAGAATAAGAATAAGAAAACTCAAACGCAAAGAGAAATTAACGCATTATCACTCCTCTAGCAGATTCGAACGAAAATTATTTTAAACTCAGAAGATGAAATTAGCTGACAAAAGCTCAAAATTATCAAGTTTTCCACAAAATTAAAGCCGATGGGTGCTAACATTGTCTTAACTGATGCTCAACACACACAAATCTGTTAAAGTCTCAAAAAAAAAGTACTCCAGGGTGTCTTGAACCTTTAAGCTGAATACTAGTATTTTGCAAAATAACTAGTAAAATAGTATGAACTGTCATCATGGAAAAGACTAAATGAACTGGTCATTAGAACTATTATGTTTTTTTTTTTTTTTTTTTAATGTTAAACAGTACATGAGAATTACAGAAAATACAAAATGAAAAGTTCCCAGTAGAGCTAATGCCTTCAACTGTAATTATATATGAAGAGTTCAGATGTAAAAACCTCTAAGTGCCATCTGAAATGTACTTTCTTAAATAAACATTGTTCAGTTATTTCACATTAAAGGCCAAGAAAATGACCTATTCTTTTTCATACAAGTGAAATTACTGAACATGCACATAAGGGCCTGGAAAAAATGCACATTTTAGAAGATTTTTTTCTTAATGTAATAAATGAACAAGCAAAAAATAGTAATGCTCTTGATTTTGTTTTGTTTTTTTAATTTGGCAATGTTTGTTTTTCAGAAATGCTCTTGGTAATCTTAATGCTACATTTAAAGCTTGTTCATCCTAAATAATCAACAATAAACATAATCATAAACAAAAGCATATAGAAACTCCAATGCTGCTTAAAATGTAGATTTAAATGTACAGTGCAGCAGAAGGAATAGAGAAAAAATGTAGGTAAATCAGATCGTGACTCCCAGAATCAGATCAGACCACAAAGTCCCTAAAAACTCCCACCCTTCTTTATTGAGTTTCCATGTTCAATCACCCTTTATTTTTAAGAGTGAACATGCAGCTCAACTAAACAGATATAGCTCTACTTCAAGGCTCCTTTGAACTGTAAGATACAGTACAACAGCAAAGAGAAGAAAGGAAGTTTGCATTTCACTTTTGCCCCTTCTGGTTACATAATCATCCTCTGCCTCTACACCAGCACGAATCCAAGCCTCACAACCTTGAAGATGTAGAAAAGAGCCAATGTTTTCTGAGAGACTTCAGGCTGCGGCTCTGTGAAGGTCTGCTAATGTTAATTCTTCGCTAATGTTGTCATAAGCAGAATATTTAACAGTAACCCTTCCTCTAAGCAGGTCATCAGCCCTCGACAACGTATCAAAGAGCAACATTAAAACCTTATTAAACTGCAACAGAAGATGGAATGCTAATTTCTGGGTGACCGGAGGGCTAACCATTAGTGGCCCTTTGATTTACACTGTACTCATGAAAGCTAGTTTGTTCTCAACCAGAGCTAAACCTAATACTGTACCATATTTAGCACTGAGAAAGTCTTTTATACTATGGTATTACAGTATACATATCCTGCAGTGCAGCTTTAAAATACAACAACTTGCTGTCATCAGTAATAGGAAATATGCAGTGTAGTGTTTTTGTGGTGAATGCTAATAGTGTTTATGGGGCTTAGGGAGACATTAGCTCAGAATAGTAAATGGTTTTAGTGCTTTGTATCCTCATAGGACTTTGGGGACCATTTGTGGTGACTTAGCAGTAATTCTTTCAGCAACTTGACCCACATACACTTGTGATTTATACACTAATACACACGCACACACACACACACACACACACACACACACACACAATATGAAACGGCATAAAGCAAGTTGCCAGTTTTAATGTTTTAATGTTTAATGTAATGCCAATTAATGTTATTAATTCCGGCTCATTCTGATTATGTACCCCTATATACATTCCTGGGGAGTGCCAAATACAACCCAGGAGGTACATTTTTTTGCAGTTTTTGTTTTCGCAAATCCACCAGAAGTCTGTGTAAGCTTTGTCGGAGCTCAAATATCTCTCAGGAGTGCCCCCACCTTCCCCGTTCCTAAACCCAACCTATATTGTTTTCTAAAGCACCGATAGACCCACCCACCTACTTTCCTAAACCCAACTGACAATTATAAAAAAGCAATCTAAAAACAAAAAATGTTACCATTTTTTTTTATAATAATAAAAATAGTAATAATACCATTTATTTATAAGCACCTTTCAAAGCACTCAAGGACACCTTACAGCAGACAACATGCACATCATAATTAATGAATAAAAGATGTTTGCACAAATTTTTATTCATGGACATTTTGACCTCAATGTATGTTTTTTATTATTATAAACCCATATGAAATTAAGTGCTGGCCTAAAAAGAAAGTATTCATGCATTAAAAAGCACACATTTCACCTCATAGTCTCAATCTATTCTGTGACATTGTGTCGAGCTACATTTGTTACTGTAATTAATTAGAAAACGGACAGATTTAATAGTCCAGCTGTTTGCAAACATCATCAGGGTACACAAGGGTAATCAAACAATGAGGAACGATCATATTCAGCTCAAAACACTGCTGAAGTAAAAACATTTATCTACTCACTGCCAAGAGGCATGTATTTTCTCATTTCTTTCTTTTTGTTTAATAAGAGTTGATCTTGAAAAGAAAAAAAACAGCACCCTGACACTGTTGCTTAACAAACACTGTTTATTACTTATTCTTAAAAAAGTGACAAGAGGTTTGCAAGGTAATTTTGCCCGTAGGACCTTGTTACTGTTGTGTTTGAGAATTTCATTTCCGTACGGTTTTGCTCATTATGAAGGATTCTGGTGTCTCGCTGGCTCCACGAGCATTAGTGATATGATGAACAGGCCACCATTAAAAGTTGCTCCTCAGGAAGTTACAATCATATTTTCTGAGTCATTCTTTGTTATTAAGCATTAGACAATGTTTTCAAGGAGAATATGACTAGATGATGCAACAAATAAGCAATTTAGTATTTCCTGCAAACAGATATGAATTTGTTCCAGAAAATTGAGTTTCAAACCAGTGATATAAAAATCACACTAATTTATTGCATAATAACAATTCAATAAGCAATTTTT